CACTTTTACTTCTTTGCAAGATTTATTAGTTGGTGGTAAAATACCAGTTGATATTGAACAATCACTAACATAAAATTTATTGACTTCAATTTGTTAGCTACAATTATTTCTATTTTTAATGTGCTATTGCTAATAGTTCTCAAAAAAAAAAAAAGAAAAAAGAAAAGAAACAGATGACTGCTCAGTGATGAGAGAACGGAAAAGGGAAGTAAAATGCTCGTTGATATGTTAAAGTTAGTAGTGGTAGGACTGAGTGGGTAGTGAAACTGAAGATGAGAGTGATTTAAGCCCATTACGCTGCGTGACTGTATAGCATGGTTACTGCTGTGAGTGTAACTCATAATCAGTAATGTTCAAAATTACTGGTGATTCCTATCTCAGGTCTTTTTTTCATATGATCTTATCTCATTTCACTATCTGCTACTCTACTCCCAAATCATGCTTTCAGCTGAAAGGCTGCATAAAGGAAGATGGCATTTGAAGTGACCAGCTGATACTTTACATTGACAAATGTAGCATGCAAATGGATTTGAGAGCTCAATAAAAAGATTCCTCTGAACTTCTGTACAAAACTTGGAAAGAATATCATAGATGAGAAGGCATACTAAGAGCTGCCTTCTGTGATTTACTGTTTTCTTTACTGGAAAGGCAAACCTAGGTCACTTAGTTTTCTCTACTGTTCCTAGCACAACACCTTTATTTAGATCCCTGCATTGGACCCAGCAGATAGATCCAGAGTAATTCTCCCCTATAAGTAGTCCTGAAAATGGGAGTGGTAGATGTCTTTTATTTTCAGTATATGGGAGACTGGAAGTGGTTCACCATTTGGCTGAAATAAATGAAACATAATGTTAGCTGCTTTGGCTCTTCTGAAGTTGCCTGCACCTGCTCCACCAGGGAATAGAAGTCTGTTCTGTAGTAATGCTTGGTAGATATATCATATAGATTTGTTCCCTCTTTGAAATGCTGCCACAATCACAGTTTTTGGAGAGTTAGTTCTGAATGTAACTGCTCCATCTTCTTTGATCTTCTGGGAAAAGGAGATCTTTAGAGACAGATTTAAAATCAGCTTGGAGATATGTACAGAAAAATCCAGGGAAAACCAGAGACTGTACTTGACTGATGTCAAGTTTTGTTTTGAATCTGTCTTGAAGGCTTAGCCTATCTACTTGTTTACAAGCAATTGTTTTATTGTTTTATTTATCTTCCCCTCCCTCCTCCACCCCCACTTTAAAACAAACAAACAAAGAAACAATCAAAAAACCATACAGAATAATTTTCTGATGCCAGTGACTGTGGTTAATAGAGAATGAGATGAATCCATTACTGACTTAGATTAAAGGACTAAGGGAATGCTGGTAGTTTCAATTGTAGCTCAGTATGCTCCAGGATTAAGGTCCATACTAAAGGTCCATACTAAAACTGGATATTATTTCAAATCCACTGTCATTAGTTTCACACTATAAACGTCTGTCTTCAAATAGCATTAGGTTTTTCAAATAGATAAGCTCAAGCTTAAAAATAACAAAATAAAAAATAAGGCTCCTATGAATTTATCTGCATAATAATTTCAAAGAGTTCCAGACTGTCACCCACCAGAAGTAGAAAGCTTATCAGCATACTAGGTTTATGGGGGGCAGTGGCCAAACCATAGGATAGGAAAGAATATGACAAAAAATAGTATCAATGAACATTCAAACATAAGTGCTTTTAGCGATTGTCAGTGAATGTGACAGCTGTTGTGTGAGAACTGATGCGAATGTAGTTACATAATTCATTGTTTTTTTCCTTTTTTTTCCCTCAAAGAAAAGATTTGCTCTTGACAATACTATACAGCACTTAAATACAAATAAAATGTTAAGTGTATTGTATTTAATTTTGAAAATTTAGACTGAGAAATCTAGAATGAGAAATATAGGAGCAAAAGACCCTTTACAGGTCTCTTTCAAAATGCATATTTACATCTCAAGGGGCCAATAGAATTTCAAGCATAAATACTTTGTGTATGTAGGGAGTTTTAAAAACACATATTACTGAATTGATAGAGCATAACTGTTCTCTTGCTTAGGCAGCATTATGCTCTGTCTCATAAAATGTACTTGGGGACATGTAAAATGGTTTATTAAACTTACAGTCCATAACTAGGGTTGTTACATTTTAATGTATATATTTTTTGTTCATGGATTATTGAACCACTAAATACCAACAATTTGTCTTTGTGCTGAACAACGTCTGTGAACATTGTTCTGAGTCTTTTCAAATAACTGTGTTACTCTTGAACATGTCACAAGTCCTCAACTTTTAAAACTATTTTTCAGTGCTCTCCTATATGTGAATGTGGTGCATTTAAAAGCAGGCAAGGAAGGAAGTGTCTGTTTACTTTTGCATAAAATGCTTTTGTGGAGAGAAATCCATGAGGTATTTCTTAGTGGGAGATCTGCAGATCTGGGGAAAAAAATACTTGAATATAAAGTACTGTCTATAATCATGAAGGATGTATGTAAAAATATGGAGTCATACAAAATAAGGAGACTAGTTAAATATTCCATTGCATGAATCTTTTTTTTTTTTTCTCCTTGAAATTTAGCCATAACTTGCTGTTTAGACAATATTTCTCCCTGTTTTTACATGGCACATGTTTCTTGCATGTTGGTAATAAGTTAGCAGCAGTAAATCTGTGGCTGCTTAAGGTGGGCCCACTTTCAGGGCCCATTTCAGGGGTATTTGGTTTGGACTGTATTTACCTTCCCTTCTGTTCCACTGTTTTTAGAAATAACTCTAGGGAAGAAGCTGAATGGCAGGGAGCTGAAAAGTAGGAAAGTAGTTTCTCTTCTTTGCCTTTTCTATGTCCCCAAATCAGTCTCTGATCATCTCATCATATCTATTGATCTGAAACATCTCATTGCTAAGTTGTACCAACAGCTTTCATACACACATCTAGGATTTGTTATTAATCTAATGCCGAGGAACAGAAACTGAGAAAGTTAATGGATACATAGTGCCGTGGTCTTGACTTCAAGATTTTCAGTGACAAAATATCTGTCTAAAAGAGCTTTTACTGGTGTTGATTTTATGAATGTTATCACTGAAATAACTTTCAGCAATGTAACAACCTCAGCATTTTTGTGAAATGGCACACTGAGGTGCAAAATGCCACACTATTGTTGTCTTTTTTTTTTTTTTTTTTTTCCTTTTTCCATCTGGAAAAAGACAACTGTTTTAAAAAGTAGTAGAGTAAATTTTGAATAGGAAAGATATAGAAGATATAGGCTCTAAATGCACATAACTGTATTGTTACAGGCCAGAATCTCTCCTCTGTAAAGAGATAAAGATGTTTCAAATCTTTTCTGAAAGAAAGGGAATTTATACAAGACAAGAATTGTAAGAAGATTTTATCTTTTATTTTTACTTGGTGTGTCTTTGCTGTGTTAGGAATACTCATTTCATGAAATATAACCTTTACCTTATTTTTTTTTTTTCTGTGATCCTCCCTCTCCTTTATCCTGTTCTCTCTGGTTTTTATTATTCCAGCATTTCAAATTATTTATTCTGAGGCTTGTCCATGAGTAGAAAATTTCCTAAAGAAGAGTATAGCCAAGATACATAAGAGTTTATTTCTTTGTGTTTCTGACTGAGAAATGATTTTGCCATCCCTTAGGCTATAAACTATTTTATTAGGCTGTAAGAGCCCATGTTGTCTTTAAAGGCAGGGTTAGTGACCAGACTCTGAATAGCATACATATGCCTGAAATCCATCTTTTTTTTTTTTTAATTTATTTTTTTAAATTTGTTTTAATGAGGAAACAGTTTATAGGATGTAAAGGTTCCACTGAAACCTTCTGCTTTAGCATTTAACGTGACATTGGGCATTTACCAGATCACCTGTTATCTGGAACTGCTAAATTTGGTTCTGAAAAGAATCACTTTAAGAACTCTTGAAATTGATTCCTTGAAGAATATTTTAAATTTTGTAGAATGTGAATTAAACACCTGCTATTAACAGGTTATAAATTCAACAAGATATTTGAGGTATCTTTCATTTCAGGATAGTATTTCATCACTTTTATCACTGTAAATAAGAAAAACTTTCCCATTTTAAATTAATGTAAATGTTAATTAAACTTTCTTGCACCAAAATACTCTTCAGCATACTTTAATATTGCCTATGCACAACTTCTCCTGGATCTTGCCAAACCACTTATTTAAGATAAGAATTAATAAAAAGTCACCCCAGATTATTTTAAATGAAAATACTAACTTGTTCTTGAGTCTATTTCAGCTAGTTAGTGGCTATTATTTGTTTCCATCAAGAAGGCTGAGGTGGAGGGCTACAAATCTTTCTTGCAACCTTTTGGCTTCTCTGTATGTAGAGAAGCCAAAGAACTTTTTTTTTTTTTTTTTTTTAATTATTATTATTATTATTTTTTTCCATGAGATAACTTTTGGTATTAACCATATAGTTTCCATATTGTTGAATCATGCACAGTACTTAACCTGGGAAATGAAAAATCAGTGGGAGAGAAAGACTGAAAAGTAGAAGGGAAATGAAAAAACACATACAGGTATATATGTATACAAAACAAAGAAATGGAAATAATACACATATTACTCATCAAATTTAATTGTAGCATTTTTAAGAATCACAGTCTTCAAAGCTGAGACCTTCTTACCATCTGTAATAATAGTAAGCATTCCTTCTTTATAGAAATCTATTCCTATCACAGCCAGGATCACAAAAGCAGTTGTTACACTTACATGTCAACAATTGTGACATCTGGAGAAAAATAGAATGCATTATTTCTTGGTGAGAGTGTTATATGATAAGACTTGACTGACATTTTACAAAATTTTAGATGTGTTCTGATCAGTTTATTTAATTAAAACAAGATATTCAGTTCTGCACAGTGAATGTAGATAATCTATTTTAAGCCTTTCAAACACACAAGTATAGAGCAAAGTGATATTAGTCTGGTTTGAATTACTTGTCATTTTATTTTCAGATACCTCAAATCAGCTATGCATCTACAGCTCCAGAACTGAGCGATAACACCAGGTATGACTTCTTCTCCCGAGTGGTCCCACCTGACTCCTACCAAGCGCAGGCCATGGTTGACATTGTTACGGCTCTTGGGTGGAACTACGTTTCGACACTGGCTTCTGAAGGAAACTATGGAGAGAGTGGTGTAGAGGCATTCACACAGATTTCCAGGGAAATCGGTAAGTGTGTGTTTGTCAGGTTTTGTATTAATAGCTGGCAAGTATCAAATCATTGCTGAGCATTGCCAAGGTCTATGCAAAATGATCAGAATGCGTGCAGGCAGGTGACGTGGATTCAAGTGGAGGGGTTTGATTTTGGTGATTTTGCTGCTTGTGGGTCTGCCGATTTGACAGTTCTGGCACTAATTTAAGAAAAGTTCAAGTGCCTCATGCCCCTTTTGGAAAAGGGAAGCTCCTTGATAGACTTAGTAAATATGTTAAGTCTCAGTGTGGTCACGTAAGGTTGAGATTTATAAAAAGAAACTGTTACTGGGGCAAAAAACAACCACCAAATATCCAGATCTGAGGAAATGTGATTGTTAGATTAGGAAAATCATAATCCAATAATACCTTATTTTCCTTGTTCCAGAATGTATAAATCCAGAGTTTTTACTTTTGATGAATTTGAACAAATCTATGAAGTACAAACACATATTCTCATTGTTTTTCCTTCAGGATGAAATGTGCTATATAAATATAGGCATTATTTTGAGAATTATTTTTAAGTTCTTTTTTTTTTTTTTTTTTTTTTTTTTTTTTTTTTTAACACTACAATAGTTATTTCTGGCCTGAAAAATCAGTTATTTCTCATGAGCAGTAAGTTTTGGACACCAAGGAATAAAGATGATGAGTAGCAGCACATGGTATGAAAGAGCAAGAAACTGGCCTTTCACTGACTAAAATATTTAATGACAAAATAATATCTTTTCTGAAAAATGAATAAATAAATAAATAAAAATACAAGCAGCCTTCCTGTCCTTCCTGAGAAAGCCCGCATTAATTTACTGTTTTTGATTTTTGGGGCATGTACATATGAACTCTCTTTCTTTCAAGTCAATATGGGTGAGAAAATATCTTCCATTTCAGTCATAGGGATAACATCTCAATTGTATGGAAAGGTGCATGTGCATCTCAGGTACTTACGCTTGAACCATAAAATTTACTGATTACTCACAGCAACTTGGCAGTAAGACAAAAATGTAGCAATTCGTGCCACTTAGGGAACTTGTGTGTATGACATGCTGAGTAAGTTAACAAATAAGTATCTTCTAAGCAGTGCTGTCATGGGTGAGCCTAGGCAAACTACACTGCAATGGTTTGATTTGGAGTTGGTAAAGGAATGGATAACTCTTCCAAAATTTGTATCTAATATACAAGGTTTATCTGTTATTTCAACTACTGCAGTGATTAGATTGATTGTCCCAGAAATTCAAGAATTCATTGGCTGAAAATGACTTTTTCTTGAAAACATCTGCAGCCTATCTAATTCTGCTGATTTCTGAAAGTAGACAAATTAAAGTGCTCAGGACTATTCTGCTGTTTCTTGTTTCCACAGGTCTGAGAGTGTTTCAGATTTATTCAATGACAACTGTGACTTCACTATAATCACAATGACTTGAGACCTATTTAGAAAACTGAACTCAGAGAGTAATTATCAATGGTTTCTGTTAAAAAGGAAAAATGTGCTCTGCTTTTTTTGGCAGGGGTTTGTGCTGGATCAGGTACCAGCCAATATTTTCATGTTAAGTCCAGATGGACTTGGAATGAAGTTTTGAAGACTTGGAATGCTTGTGAAATCTGGAGGTGACTTCAAACTCAGAAGGACTGGCTAGAGAATGCTATCTCGAAAAATGATCTCAGTGTGATAGGAAATTATAGCCTGCTTATATTTCTTGTGTCATATTGTAAACCAGAGTACCATCTTTAAAATAATTTGAGTAATTCTCTAATTTGTCTGACAGTTGTGAAACCTTAATTTGACCTGTTACGGATTTTGGCCCTCCTTTCACAAAGGGTGAGAAAGTCTACAAGTGAGAAGGAAGTCACAAATCTTGAAAATGTGGTCTGTGCAAGACCACAACTGAGCAAGGTAGTTCGTAAGCCTGAAGAAGCGTTGATTAAAAAGGGAAGATGATGAAAGTAATGTTTTCAAACAGATAAATGGCTTTTACAGAAAGGTAGGGGACCACACATTCATCCAAAGTCAGTGTATCTGACTAGAAATAATAGAGTTACTCTACAGTATGGTTCAGTGTAGATTTGAAGAAAACATCTTTCAATGTTTAAGATATTGAAGCATTAGACCAGATGGCTTGGGGATGTTTTGGAGCCACCACTGCTGAGAATCTGAGAGAATGCATTAGATGAACATCTGCCCCAAGATTATATAAGTGTACTTAGCTCTTCCTTGGGGCTGGGAGGTGGATCGGATAATATTTTAATGCCCCTTCCAGTCTAATTCTATTATTCACTGTCCTCATACTTTTCACCTGAATCATAGGGTTGGAAACTCTTTTAAAATAGGAAGTTCAAACAGCCTCTAATGATGAGGCCTGAGATAATAAAGTCTTGGTAGGTTTATAAAAATCGTCACATAGTATGAGACTGTACACAAAACAGGAAAACATGTTAATAAAAAGTGTGTGAGGAGTACCTAATGAGGACATTGCTCCCCTTGTGCTGCTGGCATAAAAATGCATAGGACAGCTCCTTTCTAAATCCATTACATACTTTTTAAGATAAGTGACCAACAACTGGAAGCAAAATGAATGTGAAGATAAGCATAATAGAAAGCAATAAATTTGAGGAAGGGAAGTGAAATAAATTGATAGATTTATTTCTGAAAAAAAAAAAATAGTGCCTTAGAGCGCAGTTTTGAAACTATGGTTATGATAGCATGGGTTTCTTTTTTTTTTTTAACATTTTCTCTAATCAGTTCAGAATGAATGATGGCTAAGGTTTTTAAATATTTTTAAAACAGAAGATAATTTCATGTGCTTTAATTGTAAGTACTTATTTGTCATGATCTTTTTGCCTCTAACATCCAGTTTGGTTGGTCCTTTGTTCAACTCCTATTTCTTGATCAGTAACAGAAGCAAAATGGAACAGGCTCACAAATGATATGTGGAATACTGAAAAGGTCAAAGTGGTGCCACTGTGACATGTCACAGAATATATTACATGTCAAAATTTACTCTCATTTTAATGACAAAGATTCTGTTTGGGACAAAGGATAGCTGGAAATTAAATACATTACATGACAAAGATTATAAAAATAATAGGGAATGATACTTATTCCAACTTGCTGTTCCATGTATTATTATTTGAATACAGTGATTAAATTTATAATATTTTTTACTCCCACAAGAAAATTAATCAATGATATTACTATAATCATTTTGGCATAATGATCAAATCATTTTGGTACATTGGCCAAAGGAGTGAATTGATACCAAATGCATAAGAGTTTAAGCATTAAACTGAGAAAAACTAACTCTCTGGGAGAAGCTAAACAGAGGAGAAGAAGGAATCACATTTTACCAAGTCCTCAATAAAGTGTCATGATGAATACTGTTCCTGTATTTACATTGCTGTAAATGATGTTTGGCAAAATAGATGTTGTTAAATCTCTAATCAGACTTTCTTTTAATGGTTCCCCCTGCCATTCCATTCATACCAAATGAATTCATGCCATAAATTCATACCAAATGAATTTACCATCAGTGATAAAATCATGGCACCCTTTTCACTTTTCTAGAGATAACAAAAATATTTGGTTGAGAAAAATATGATTGGGGGTCAGAATACTTGCTCAGTTAGTTAAATGTTTGTACTGATAAATTGGTGAAATCCATGAATCACATATGAAATGCTACATGAGAGATTTTACCCCTATTAATGGTCAATGAAACATTGACACAAATGTTAATAGTTATTTGCTGTGAAACACTTACGAAAAAGGGAGGTAAAAATGATGTCAGTGAACTGTAGCTGATCATTAAGAAAAAGCTAGAAAAATTAGCATTGCTTACCCCTTTTGTCTTGTATGTCCATATTGCACATCTTGCCAGAGGTACATATTTAAAAAATAAAAAATAAAAAAATTTGTACAAGATCTTTGGCTGAGGCACAATGACATGGTTTTGTTGGAGCTTTACCCTAGATGAAAACCATTTACTTCATGCCAAATCATACTCTTGATTGCTTACATTTAAGATTTTGTAGATTTACCTATTCTCTTTACTCTGATATATTGAAGTTAATAACATTTTTTCTGATAGGGGCAACAGCTTGTGGCTCGTCATAATATTTTACCTTTACAGTCACACTGATAACTATACATGTATACTTAATGAATATGTATACTGAATTAATTCTACACTAACTTTATTTAAATTGCATCAGATTTCAGCATAGCTAACTGTATGTTATTTACATGGATAATGGTCTGTGAAAACATTTGTCTTTGACATAGTTCTTGGGTCACCTCATCTCTTGTCACTTTTTTAAGCATCTACAGTAGTGTGCTGTATCTCTGCTTTTCTCCAATTTTTTGATTACTTCAAATCTTTAATATCTTTTGTACTTATAAGGCATTCACTGGATAAATGGAAAGTTTAGTGGGAAGTGGGGAGGGAGGGATACACCTCTAGAGTTCATAACCTTTCCTCTCCACTGAGATGATTCATAGATAATTTAGAAATAAATAAGACTGATTGCTATTTAGATTAATTCACATATCCAACAGTAATCTTTTTTATATCTTTGATATTAAGCTAAAGCTTTTTATATCTTGTTAGATAAGCTGATGAATAGACTTGTTTCCCTCTACCTTCCTTCCCCCCAAGATGTTATTTCATAGAAGATTAAGAAGTCTTGCAGCATGAAGACTAAAGAAATACAATATATAACATTTAACTTTTTTTAATTATTTTTTTTCTTTTTTTCTGCTTTAGAGACTGGATTGAAGCTTAACACATTAATTTTCACAACTAATAATATTCTAACACACCCTCACAAAGGGGAAACAGTTTAATTCAATTTTAAGTTTTACTTTATATTTATGCAGCTGAACTCTATTGATAACACTGTATTTCAAGCTGCAAGCTGTAATTAATAATAAAACTACATAATTGGCTACAGGAAGTTCAAAGTAATGTTTGAAAAATATGAAATCAGAT